GACATCATAAAGTGGCCAAAATCTGATCAGCTCATTTTCAGACAGGTGTTTATATAAATGGGTCAGGACAAAAAGAGAGAGAATCTTTTTTCCTGAAACTTTCAAAGTCTCTTTACACAGAAGGGGACACATGTTGATGTAGAAGAGACATGATAAAAGTGGATTTTGCATGATGATCGGTCCCCTTTAACACAAATGTACATATATTTACTAAGCAAATATATTCCATTTAAATGAAAACTGTAGTCAAGACACATATTAGCCACAATGCCCCCATACAAATATATTAAAAAAGCGTGTTAAATTAGCCATGTAACACCTTCATGTACCATTGCAGGAACAACATGGAACTTTTTGCAATTTGGTGCACATGAATAAGTGATTGGTGCAGAAAATCAGTCATTGTTCTTTCTAAATGACTTTGAATGCTCGATTTTTGGAAATATAATTGGACTTAATGATGAACATGGGCTCAAGCTACCAGATTTTAACACACTGACAGCTGAGAGTTTTCAGCCTTTAAAATATTAATCAAGCCTCCCATTTATTCACCCAACAACTACCACAGGCTCAGCGCTTCCTTGTAATGTTTGATGCAGTTCTTGCACAGCAGTGTGGCTTCACGTCAAGCTCCATCTGGTCCTCCCACTAGCAGGGACAGGGAGCCTCGGGAGGATATCAGTGGCTTTCTGATGCATCATCACAAGCGGAGATGGAGAAGGACGGATTCAGACAGGGAGAGGATTTCTTGCTCTACTTAGCACACTGATGAGGAGCCCGAACAGAAAAGCATCACCTCCTTGTTCACAGTGAAGGAACATAACAGCACCTCATTACATAACACTGGCTGAAGCACCAAAGGGTTATCGGCAGTCTCATATGTGTCTGATTTCAGCTCTAAAGACATTGTGAACATGAGGGGTTTCTCATTTATACTCCAGTCTTCCATCTCTACCTTTCGCCTAGAGGGTTTTATTAAAGAATGATCCTGTTCCACCAGCACAGAGGCCAGCTTAGTGTATCAATGGACGTGGAGCAGGTGGATCAATGATCCACCCTGGACTTCAGAGCGTTGGCTGGTTTAATGTTAATGTATGTATTTAAGGGTAGAAGAAACGATCTAAAAAAAGCAAGTGTCTGCTGAGGAGCTGTGAGTGTTTGTTGTGGACGTATGCGGCTGGCGCAGTATGCCAGTGCTTGAGGGTGAATGAAGAGGAGGAAGCCCTTTGACTAATCTCTGGGGAAGATAATGATCTTATATGCGGGCTGAACACTGTGTGCTCAGCCTTCTAGGGGACTGGTAATACAGGCGATGCTCACACAGACCTGCGTGCACCATCCAGAGGAATCCTTATGGAACTCAAAACCCATGAACACTTTTGCTACATAGAATATAAACCCATTCTGACATCTAACAATATTGTAAGTAATGTTTAACAAAACACATTTATATATTTGTGCAGTCAAACAACTTCTGAGTCGTTACATAATCACATGCTTGTTGCTTACTGCAATGTGTTATGGGCTAGACTTAGCATTACACTGTAACATTTCATTTGCCACACCACACTCCTGCTGTGGACATTCCATGATCGAGCAAGCTGGCAAAAATAAAAATGTTGCCTAAGAGATTGAGCAGTTCAGCTCTCCCCAGAATGGATAACAATGCATATAAAAGAAAAAGCGCTATATAAATGTAATGTATTATTATTATTATTATTATATAATGCCAAGTTTCCTCAGAATGCCTGTTGACTGTAAACAACAAATAATATAAGGTTGTAATAACAGCTCTAGGCAGCAAGCATTTGTATCTGTCCATCTTTACAGGTTTCATTCACGCCAGTAATTGAACTTGTTCACTGGACAATGATATCAGGAAGCATACCAGAGATGATGATAAGGTGGGATAGGGAACAAAGCATACAAGATGTCAATGTACACGCATATACAGTTACGCTTCAGAAAGACTGAAAACTACCAATGCTTTTTTTGTTTATGTCATACCTACATTAAACCTTGAAGGAAGTCAAAATTAAAAACCCAGCCATTGTCTGAAAATCCACACCTGGTGATTCATAAAAATACATATATCAGATTATTTTACCAGTCTGTCACTATCGATACATTATGTGCTTTTTCCTGCGTGAAAACTGAAACTTAAATCACAATGCAAAGAGAAACCATGCATCCATATGACACATAAATTAACATTGTGCCATTATTTTATGACAATCGACAAGAACCGGCTGTGAATATTAAGCCTATAATATAGTGCAGCCAGCACATGTTGCAGAGTAGTCAGCATGACCTAAATAGACCACAGTGACAAGACCTTACACAGCAATAAGACTGTCAGTGTCGCACTGTCTCTGTCAATTCAACCACCGCGACCGCCACTAAATTAAACTGAAAGACAGAACACCAAGTCCTAACATCGTTATTAAATAATATAGACAATAATCGCAAAGACTGAAAGGATGATTCGCCAAATCAACATCCACAGTAGAGTACAGGCACTCTTGTCCATATCGTGGGATCACTGAAACGGGGGGAGAGAGACAGTTTAGCTAACAGCAATGTAGCTAGCAGCAAGCCGTGTCTACCGGCGTTTCTCTCTATAATGATGGTGACGTTTGAAAACCCGGGGTTAGCAAACGAGTAAAGTAAACCTGCAACAGTTTACAGTACCATAAACACACCCGACATTATAATATATTCTCTTTTATATTGTATTGAGATGCTACGTTTTCCAGGGGCAGAGTAGCGGTAAATAATGAAACGGGAAGTCTCACCTACACAAAAAGTGCTAGCAAGTTAGTGTTAGCCAACTTTGTTAACGCTACGTGTTTCACAAGCCGGTGTTTCGTAGTTACTACCGATAAACGGTATAAGGGATTGATGTTTCTCTTAATAACCCAACAACTTCACGCCATCTGCTAATATTTCAAAAATAAGCCACACCGGCTAACACATACTAAGCTAAGGGCTAAGCTAATAAAACTTAGCAATCAAAGTTAGCTAGCCCGGCTGATTCTATCCGTTGAATGTGAAGTGATATGGTGGAGCCAATAATGTAATTAACCCACCCCAACGAAAAAGCTAGCTAACGTTACAACAGTCGTCCCCAGCATTTTTTGGATGGTGCTGACCTCCCATCGGCTAAGTTAGCAGTTCATGCTAACTAGCATTTTGTTAACTTCCAATAGGTTACCATATGTACAGATTCCAACGTCCAAACATGGACACATAAGAGTGCATTCTCTTACTTGCAACTATAAATACAATTCTACCAAGTATTGTTTCACTAGGATGCATTTATTTTAAATGGTGTATCAACTTTTACAACCGGTTCATGCTACTTGGCAGCAGCCCGCCCTGGGGTAACGTATTTTGGTTGAAAACTAGTCTGGATATCAAGCTTTTTTAAAGTTAAAATGTTTATAAAATGAACACTGCTTGGTGAATTGTATCCATGCCGAATGTCTGAGTGTGTCTGTCTTATTACAACTGAGTAAAAACTAAGTCATAGTGTAGCAGTTATTGACATTTGCTCATTAGCTAAGTCACATTACATTGTTGGTGGTTTTAATAGATCTGACGTTCTTCCATGCTAGAGTGGACGCACGTACAGATGCTAGGAAAAGCTAGCATTAGTTAGCCGCTAACCGAACAGACAGCTAGCGACTAGCTAGCCACCTTACTGTCGAAACGAACAATCACGTTGTGGGGGGTGTCTTCAAAATTTAAAACATTCCTTACCTCCCACTCGGTACATGTTGGCCGCCATTCTATCGTAACCTTTATCAAAAGCAGTCCCAGGGTATTCCCCGCTCCGGTAGAAAAAGGTCGATGGGGATCTATTTTATTCCTTCATTTATCGTAGACTCCCCCGCCGTGAAACAAAGCCGGCTCCGGACACAACAAGCCGAGATGTGGCGGGTAAAAAGTTGAAAGTTTCCGTTAGTAACGTTCCGGAGGTTATCCCCAAAATATCCAAGTCTTTGTTTTTGGTCCCTCCGACGACCTTCCTCTCCTCTTCCTCACTCACTCATTCACACACAGCTAGCCTGTCTCTTACTCCACTCTTCCTCCCATCCTCCGCTCCCAGCTTCATCCTCCTCTTCTTCACCTCCGCTCAGTTCAGCACACACACAGAAACACACACTCACTGGCCCTCTTCGCTCGTGCTCAAATCGTCATCTTCGGAGATTGTCGTCATTCTCCGGAATCACAATTAACTTTTTCAATGGCCCTGGTTTGATAAACAAGTTCTTTATATAATATGAAATATAAACACACATGAGTTAAGCTGTAAAGTTTTTTTAATGTTTAAGTGTCAACAATTGTCATTGGAATCCTAAGGGCTATTTAAATATATTACACAAGCACAAAAGTAAAAAGAGTTAAGTTGGGAACGTATTTAGAAAAATAGCATCAAGGGAATTGTTAGAATCTTAATTACCATAAGAGTTATGTTAGAGGATTACAGTTATAATGTTTTATCACCAACTTCACAATGATTGAGCTGTATGTTGAGCAGTTTGTATGTATGAGCTGTAAGAGATATTGTTGCTTCTCACTGAGATTGTTAGGTTTTATGTTTAGAGGCCATTTTTTAAAAGCCTAATACTGCTAAAAAAAAAGTGGCCCTTCTTTACTTTAAATTGGACAGTATCAATACTATTCATTTGACTTGAATCGTTTTTTGGGGTGAAATGTCATTTTTTATAAAACCATTCATTCATAATTTTTTTACTTTACGACGTGGTATTTACCTCAATATAAAATGTTGTGTACTTCTGATCATGAGATTTGAGACCAATGTCTTGTTTACCTGTTTTCTTCTTCTATAAAATGTATTTTATCAACAAGGTTTGTAGAATCTGAACAGATCCTGCTGTACATGTGGAGTTCAGCCAGGATCTGTGAACATGCACACAGCACATGATTCCTGGAGCAGCACTGCCCACTAGTGGTTCCTCACAGACAATACACTCTCCAGTCTTCAGTTATTTATTGGGAGCTTGGCAGGTACAACATCACAGTATTCCCAATGTTCTCTTAAATATATAAAACTGTACTTAAGTAATCATTTGTCAAGTGTACTGATCTACTGTTAGAGATATTAATTAGTCAGGATTGGTATGGTGTTTGTCACAGTCTGTTTATGCAAGCGTCTTCAATATTAGCTAAGCTGAGATGTCAACCAAACACTGGTTGAAATATTACAAAATATGTAAAATCATTATGCAAACATCTTTAAGGCACGATTGTGTAGGAAACGATGCAGCACTTTGGTAAGTTTGATAAATGAGATGGACTAAAATGCAGGAATGTTCACTGAAACCAAAGTGTTTGTCACCGTAGAAGCCGTGTTCTGTAACACACGTGATGATCCTCCCCACAGACTGTGTTCAGGGAGGAGTCACAACCGTCCAGTGTACGAGGATTTACATGATTATGGAGTGAGTGTAAATGTGATGTGAACATTCCTCCATCAGGGGTGTCCAAACTACAGCCCGGGGCCCAACTGTGGCCCTGGGTCCATTTCTAATTGGACCTCAGCTCATTCTAATGGAATATGGCCCCTACCTGATACTTCTTAAATATATGTAAACAAATATAACACAGTATTCATGTGTTAATTAGCCCAATTTCTCAATATATTCAGTCATTTAAAGTTGATAAATTGTTCTAACAAATCTTAGTTGATAGAAAAGCAGCCCCAATAAGTTATTTGAATAACAAGCTTGAAATATACCCTTCATATTTTCCCTTATTGTCCCCCCTTCAATACAGGGCTGTGCAGGGAGATCAATGTGAGGCTTCAGACCTGCCAAACCTTTTTGTAACAAAATGGTAATAATTAATGGAAAGCTGTGATATAGGCTGTTTTTTTTCTCTAAGCATGTTCAATTAATAAGAATAATTGACCTACATTTGATTGGTTTTGCTAACTTATAACTCTACTTATGAGGCAATTACCTCACCTCTCAGCTCTTGGTATATTTTTCTGCGTGTGGCCCTCAGTGAAAGAAGTTTGGACACCCCTGCTCTACATGTTCTGTATGAAACTGAGGCAGCTGTGGCCCCGCGGAGGCCCCTAAGTGTGGCTGCTGTCCGCTGACTCTCACGCCTCTCTGGCTGTGTAAACACCCCCCCCTCCGTCACTGTTAACAGCCCATAGCCGTCCTAGCTGGTGCCGGGCTCCGGAGAGCTGGTGTAGGGGGAGGTGGACGAGACCGAGGCCAGTCTCTCCCTGCTCTCGACCCCCCCGCCCCCCGTCACCCTCCACTGGAGGATGCAGGTGTCCTTCCCGCCCATGGAGAGGAGGTGGGAGTCGCTGTGGGTGAAGCACACGTTGGTGACGTGGCTGCCGTGGCCCCGGTACTTGTGGCTCGGTGCCTGGAGAGGAAAGAAATAACAGAGGTTTTCAGCTGTAGTCTGGCTGTGGTTTTCTCCATGAAATAAACATTCTTTACCCTCAGCTTGCTGACATTTTAAAATAATATTATTTGTGACTATTTGCATTAGTGAGAATGGTTGTTTTTGGTATGTGTGTTGTTGTGGTATTAGTAAAACTTCAGGAAAAATATAGCAATTTACAACATAATCACGGTATGAACATTTTGATACAAAATCATCAGTAATGTGAATTTATTGTGGATATAGACAAAAAATAAGCTGTTAGTCTGGTAAATTCAGAAAATGACATCACCTTTTGTAATGCAGCCTTTAAAATCACGAAAAGACAACAGTTAAGATAATTCAACATTTACAGTAAGATGATATCTAGATTTGTTTCACGATATCGATATATAACATCGATGTATTGGCAGCCGAGCTTGTGGAGTAATGGATTACGTAATCAGGAAGGATACAACAGAAGGTAACTGTATTCCCTTACAGTTACATACAAAAAGAACTAATGGGGGTAACAAGCAGGATTACAGTGTTACAATACATTTTAAAATAAATAAAAGATCAGTATATTATAGGGAGACGTACAGCCGGAATGTTCTTTTTGGTTTTAATTTAGGCTACTTTAATTTAAGTATAATTTCTTTTTTAAATCCTGTGTTTGCTTTTAATTATTCTATTAAACTAAAACCTTTTCCAAATGAATATTCTGTAGTTTAAGAGGACACACCTTTTATCCTAAATATCTTGTTTTCTTCTTTACTAAGGTCACATTGTTCTGTTGTCTTACATAACACACTTTAGTATAAAACGTCTTATTGTTATTTATTTTCTAATGTATTTTTTTGCATTGCATTTGACATTATTGGAATCTGTAATCAGGTTAGACAACTTTTATATTGTGATGCTCAGATAAGGTTACTGATTACATTTTGTACAGGTAACTAATAATTGTAAAGGATTACATTTTTAAAGTAACCCTCCCAACCCTGTGCGCAGCCCTATAATAACAATGTATTTATTTGTTCTCTACAAGCAGACAGAGCGGCTGTGTGATAGTACCTTGGGTTTGGGGCAGGGGTACTGGAAGAGGTGGACCTTACAGAAGTCGTCGGCCACAGCCACCATCCTCTCACTGTGAGAGCGGCACAGGGCGTTGATGTCCGTGCCGTCAGAGCCCTCCAGCCACACACCTGCAACGCCAACACCGTCAACACATCTAAACTTCAAACAGTCACAACACAGGAAGCAGAGGAGTATCTCACCCATCACATGGAAGCCCAGCACACAGGTGTAGGAGGCCCATTCTCTGTCTTTGCTCTCGAAGCGATTCCTCAACAGTTTACAGCCGGCTGCGATGTCCCCTGTCACAACACATGATATTACAGTCAGAACACTATCAGCACGCCGTCTCAGGATTTAGAAATGTAAACCTGTTCACTTACAGTAAAGGATCTCGTAGTCGCCTGAATTAGACATAATGTACTTTCCATCTTTGGACCAATCCAGGTGAGTTATGAAGCTGGAGTGACCCTGATTGGACAAAGAATACAGAGGCAGTTACTCATAATGCTCTATAACTCAACTGTGAGAGTTAAGGGGAAGGATGGTTGTATTCTATTCTTTTCTTATTTTCAATGAGTAGCACCATCCAAAAATGTGTTAGACCACCTGGAAATAATTTCCAAATTCTCTGGGGAAGAAGTGAGTGCTAGTGAGGTAATATCGGTTAGAATACGAGTATACATTACATGTTGTCATCTGATTGCCTGTTTTAAGATTAAAATCTGAAATAAACTGTCCTTTTTTAAAGTGTCTCTGTTTCCCATTGTGACTCGGGCCGTGCATCAGCTGACTTTCTGGGTCAGGTTCAGGTCTCTAATTTCATTCAGAGTCGGTCAGATTTTTGAAGTCTTGTATACATATTGAGTCTCAGACATAAAGCTTTAGAACACCTCACTGATCTAGAGTTAATTTTTTTTAAAGCTTATGTAATTCATTTCCTACATACGCTTGTGAGAGTAGCTTTTAGCAAACGTCCCTCAAACAGGAGGAAATAGTGTATGTGTTGGGGACTAGTTTCAGCGGCGCATGAATACACATTTGATGCTGTAGTGAGTGTTTGTTGCTGCAGGACAGTGTATCTGGGACTGATTCAAATGAAACCTCAGTGTGTGTTTGTGATAATAAAGGAACATTGTGAACAGTGAGACTCGTTTGTGTTTGTAATGTCACACTGGAAGAAGATATGCCAGGCTTTTGGTACACATACATGCTTGTTAGTAGGTTAATCCATCTTTTGTGTGGGTCTGCACATAAGATTTGTTCTCGAAAAGAAAAAAAAGACTCACCAGACTTAAATCTTAAATTAGACAAAAGCACTTGAGGAAGAGAATATTCGAGGAACATGGATTTGATATTGAACTCACATTACATTTCCCCGAGCGGATGTAGCGCCGGCCGCTCTCCGTCACATTGTAGATGTAGATGAAGTTGTCATGAGAGCCAACAGCTAAAAAGCTTCCATCTGAGAACACAAGAAGCCATTCATGCAGTTAGAGGGGATTTCCAAAGGCTTATTTCAGTCAGCTGAGATATTGAGTTTGGGAGAATGTTTGGTAAACACTGGTCTTAAAGTTGGGTTGAAATCATTCTGAGAAGAGATAGAACAAAGTAGTGCTGGTAATGCAATCTGACCTGGAGAGTATCTCATGACGGACAGCTGCTCGTTCCCATCAGTGGACTCAAAGACCACCTCTCTGGTCAGCAGGTCGAGGGCCAGCCACCTGTTAATGTGAGGGGGGGGGGGGGGGGGGTTATCAGTAATGACAACTGACCGGACAGCACACAGCTCCTTAGCCCTGCTTTGTCTCCTCAGTGTGCAAGAAGTCGTTTGACAGGAAATAATGTCCAACTATAATATAATCGATTCATTGTTAAAAAAAATCATGCAAAAAGGTCAGAAAAGGACGTTTTCAGTCTCTCAAATAGGAATATGTCTTGCTTTTTTCTGTCTTATATCATATTAAACCAAACATCTTTGTGTTTTGTACAAAAAAAGAGAAATTTAAAGACTGTATTCAAACAATTTACAGACCAAAAGGTTAATCCCCAAAATAATCAGCAGATTAATTCATGTAAACCAGGGGTGTCAAACTCAATTTCATCACGGGCCACATCAGCATTATGGTTGCACTCAAAGGGCCGGTTGTCACTTTAAGACTATATAAAATAAAAATACATATATAAATATTTAATATATATAAAATAATGTATTATATTATATTATTGCCTCTGCATTGGATTTTTATCGGATAGGGTAATAACTTCATAATTAACTACGTCTGAAAGCAGAAGTCTACGGCAAATAATTGCAAGTCTCTTCAGTGAGAATGTCACAAAATGATTTAAAAAGAAAAGCCAAATTCTGGAAAAAAAATAAAAAAAAAATAAGTGACATTTTGAAAAGAAAATCTAATTCTGAGAAAAAGGCAAATTCTAAGAAAAAAGGCATATTTTGAAGAAAAAAAGGCAAATTCTGAGGAAAAAGTCAAATTTGAGATGCATTGTGGGACATGTAGTTTATGGGTAACGTGCTTCTGTAAAGTAGCATGTAATCGTATAATAAACATATTATATTCTTTGCAAGCTCTTGTGGGGCCACATAAAATGAAGTCCCGGATTTGGCCCCCGGGCCTTGAGTTTGACACCCCTGATGTAAACCCATGTAAACACATTTATAACATTATGTGGATAGTTATTTTTTCCTTTTTTTCCCAAGTGTGGCAAACCAAAATCAACCTTGTGTATGCGTGTTTAACCTGTACTGATCAATATTATTACCTTTGTAAAAGATCAAATGAATGTACACGTACCCAGAAAAGAATTATCGAGTGAAAAAAACAGATTGCCCAAAACTATTCCTTTAAAGAGGCACGATTCTGCTCCATATATCATTGATTCATGACCCTAGTTCTTTCTTTCAGTTCATATATTTTCTAAAGCGTGTGGCGATGTTGCTATATTACCTTCCTGTGTTGAGGCCCGACTGAAACCACTGATCCATTGGGGCAGAAATCAGCACACAGCCCATACTCCTGTCCACACACAGAACAAGTGTACAGCATGTGTGTTAGCACTGGATATCAATGTGTTTAAAAACAAGCACACCAAAATACAACAGGGAAATGATTGTGCTTCCAGAATGAGTGTCCTACCTCCAGCGTGATGCACCAGTCCAGCTTGTGTTCCTCTGTGTTCCACAAACACACCTGCCTGTCGTGGCCGCAGGTGAAGAAGATGTTCTGAGAGGGGTGTGTAGCCAGCCCCCACATCTCGTCTACATGACCCTGAGACACACACACAGACACACACATACACGCACAGTTCAAAAACAGAATAGCTTTAAAGTTATTCAGCGAAATTAGATGCTTAAGGCTACTTCCATGAACTTAGATAAAGTAGATATTCCAGTGAAGCGGTAGAGTTTCCTACAGACATTCTCAGAAAATCTTAACTTTAAAATGTGTCATATATTTTACAGTGGCAACGTTCTCCAGATTTTGTAACAATTTTTAAGTTTCCATTTTGTTAACCCTTACCAGGAATGAGGAACAAATAAGGGGCAACAGAAATACAAAATTCCATTGTTTGAGGAAGATACAAAAATATAATACACATATTATTATTATAACACATTTGCATTTATATTAGTTGTGTGATTTCTTTTCAGGGTTTAGTATTCATTTTTCAACTTTGAACTTTAAGTTTTTCTTCTACATCTCTTTTTCTATTGACCAAAAAAAGAGAAAAAAATCACTGGAATGTACATTACCGATGAGTACATTTATTTACATAACAAAACCATTGTGTACATTCTATCCTTGTGAGGTGTAGTGCAGCTTCTAAAGGAGACATTCGTGAGGCTTTTGGTTTGATTTCTGTCTGCAAGTGGTTTCAGTTTCCCACAGACAAATGTGAGCACAAAGCCAAATTCCAGTGGTCAGTAGAGACATTGCTAAAGTGCATTCTGATGCCAGCTGTTGATTTTTGTATCCAAACAGACTGACAACATTTGGATGTAAGATACTCAGGGCTGTATTAACACATTAGGGGAACATGGGACAGAGATCACTCCTAGTCGTGTATGTGTGTATACTGTATTAAAAATGAATGTAGTTAAATCACCAGCAAACTACTGAATTAATTACTACTCCCCAACACTGAGTATAGTAACACAAAAGCTTCAATCCAATCATTTCTAATCCTAAGAAAGCATTAAAGGGGCCCTATTCTGCTGATGTTCAGGTGTATATCAGTATGTAGTGTCTCTACTTTAAAGAGTCCTCTCCTGCTGATGTTTCAGGTGTATATCAGTATGTAGTGTCTCTACTTTAAAGAGTCCTCTCCTGCTGATGTTCAGGTGTATATCAGTATGTAGTTGCCTCTACTTTAAAAGAGTCCTCTCCTGCTGATGTTCAGGTGTATATCAGTATGTAGTGTCTCTACTTTAAAGAGTCCTCTCCTGCTGATGTTCAGGTGTATATCAGTATGTAGTGTCTCTACTTTAAAGAGTCCTCTCCTGCTGATGTTCAGGTGTATATCAGTATGTAGTGTCTCTACTTTAAAGAGTCCTCTCCTGCTGATGTTCAGGTGTATATCAGTATGTAGTGTCTCTACTTTAAAGAGTCCTCTCCTGCTGATGTTCAGGTGTATATCAGTATGTAGTGTCTCTACTTTAAAGAGTCCTCTCCTACTGATGTTCAGGTGTATATCAGTATGTAGTGCCTCTACTTTAAAGAGTTCTCTCCTGCTGATGTTCAGGTGTATATCAGTATGTAGTGTCTCTACTTTAAAGAGTCCTCTCCTGCTGATGTTCAGGTGTATATCAGTATGTAGTGCCTCTACTTTAAAGAGTCCTCTCCTGCTGATGTTCAGGTGTATATCAGTATGTAGTGTCCTCTACTTTAAGAGTCCTCTCCTGCTGATGTTCAGATGTATATCAGTATGTAGTGTCTCTACTTTAAAGAGTCCTCTCCTGCTGATGTTCAGATGTATATCAGTATGTAGTGTCTCTACTTTAAGAGTCCTCTCCTGCTGATGTTCAGATGTATATCAGTATGTAGTGTCTCTACTGGGACATGTCTTCATGCTTTAATGATCAAAAATCTCTTTATTTTTCTCATACTGCCTGTGCTGCAGCACCTCTTTTCACCCTCTGTCTGAAACCAGGGCCCAGTCTGCTCTGATTGGTTAGCTGGCCGGATCTGTTGTGATTGGTCAAATGCTTAGAGCTGTCCAACCCCTTAACCTATCACATACAATGTGTTGGAGTGCTAGCCAATAGAAGTGCGAGTGTTACATATTTGAGCCTTTGCAGACCATTGACATGCACAGAAACCTATAGAACACACTACAGGAAAGGGAAAACCCTAAGAAGCCTAATAGGGCCTCTTCAAAAAAACGAAATGTTAACATACCTGCACTATGGCCACAAATCCGTCTGAGAAGGTGCCTCTGAGGATGGCATTACGGGTCGTACCAACTAATAGTTCCTCCCCATCAACATCTGCAATGGTACGCACTGCCCCGTAGTTTTCTGGAATCTGGACAAATAATCACGTTAATCAACAAGCCTTTAATGGGACTTCCTCTGAGCCGTCCACCGACACATCACACACACAGCTGCGGTTCACCTCACACTCTCTCTCGGGGGCCAGGTCGGCACTCCAGCGGATGATCTTACGGTCTTTCCCTCCCCCGCTGAGCAGACCCCCCCCATGCAGGGTGCACAGGGTGAACACGCTGCCTTCATGGGCGCGGGTCTGTCGTATGATCTGCAAAGTCTCTGTTGGAAATGAAGCACATTTTTCAGTGGATGGAGAGAGAAGAATTATGTCAATTTGCCCATTGAGGCACTACAAGAACCTCCACACCTGGAGCAGCAGAATCAGCTTTCTCCCCTCTGCTATCACCTGAACTCTGAACAATGACAGCTTTCAACTAACCTAATACAGTTATGGGAAAAAGGTTGATATAATACATTTAACTAAAATCAACGTTCAGTTTAGTTTAGATGAGTGACCTCATCACTTTATTTATACAACTGTCCAAATGACTACATTTTTCTTAACCATACTCATATCTATTCATATTATCTATCAATAAAGTACGATCTATCTATCTATCTATTTAACGCGTCAGCTAGAAACCCTTCAGACCTCTCTCAGAGCTGTGCCTGGTCATTGAGCTCATTTTGTCAGGCAGGAAATCCAAAATGTGGGATATTTCTGAGCGAGTAAAGGACGAGCCCGACAAGGTGACATTAAAACTCTGCAGGAAAAAAAGTCTCCTCCGTATCCACGCCATCGGAGCGCAGCTTCCTGAACGGCGGCATCATAACAAAACACGGAGCTTAATTACCCCGACAACGTGCTTTCTCATAATTGGAGGAAAACATCAGGAGTAAGTCAGGCAGCAGCCTAGCATTGAATCAACATATATAGACCTATAATATATAATCATTCTGACCTCAGAAAACGATAAATTAACGCTTTCATTTCATGATGAGGGCGTAATGTGCGGAGGTATTTTTGTTTCCTGTGTAGTATTTATTGGTTTGATAATTGACTGTTTGTGCTCTCTGCTTGTTCCGACACACAGTAACAGTACTTACAGGCGTCTCTGCTGTATGAACCGCTGACTTTCATTTATATGACGAAATGTCATTATTACAGTTTTAATTTGATATGTTATGTGAAGCACAACGTAACAAGCTGTTATACTAATGTTCTTCATCAGCCTTTGAAACAGGCATAACAAATAAATAAATATTATTAATAATCATATTATATATCATAAATGTGCAACGATTAGTCGACTAATCGCCTGAATTGACGACAGTCAAAACTGTATATTTTTATACCTGATCATGATCTGTTTATACCTCCCTATAGTGTTCATAGTTAATACATCAGTTTGTATCTGTCACAAACTTGAATAACTCACTTCTGTTTAGATGCATTTGATTTGATTTTGTGCAGTACACTAACCTTTGGCTCCTTTTCCCGAGCGTTTTGACGTCTGCGGCTGACTTTCCCCACGTCAGTATGTTTCCCTCGGAGTCTCCGGTCAGAACGTCTCCGGTCAGACTGAACACAAAGCAACTGGATGACTTCGGCTTCTTGTGTTTCTGAAAGATTGTTTATATAACAATACATTGATACATTGTTAGGTCTGGCGTAAAAATACATATTTGATTCAAAATACTAAACATTTAATCAATTACATTTAAATCAGATTCACAGCTTGGATTCTTCCAGATTGTTCATTTCTCTTTTGGACGTTCTCTCCCAAATCAATATGGTTATTCACAAGTTTGACTTCTCTATGTTTGACCTCAAACTGAGGGAAGCTGATTCATTTCAGTTGTACTTTCTGTACAGACAATAAGGGGAACTTGAATTGAAGTAATTTTTATTGAGGAACATGACAAAAGTCAGATTTATTTAAAATGATTTAAAATAATACCCGTCTTATTATTATTATTACCAATAAGCATTTATATTAGTTGTGTGATTTTTACAGGATTTAGTTTTAACTTTCTAAACGTTCAGCTTAAAATGTAATGTTTCTTAGACCAAAAAGGGAAAAAAAGAAACAGAAAAAGGGAAAATTAACATTAACAAGATTTGTTTGCATTCAGGATAAATAGAAAGTGTCTTACTCCGAAGATGCCTTGCTTCTTGGTGAACTGTCCTGCGCTGAGCGTCCAGAAGTAGACGTGGGACTTCCCGCAGGTGATGATGTTGGAGCTGTCGCTGAGGTTAAACTCCACCGAGAACACAGCCTCGTTGGTATTCTGGAAACACCACACACACAAACACAAACACGTGTTAGGCACAATCAGAAAGATGTTTGAGACAAATGAGGGTCTTGGACAGTTTTATTTATTTTTTTAATGATAAGGCAAGTCAAGTTATGATTGTCTATTCGATCATAACTATGATTGACTCCTTTCAAATCATTTTTTAATGACTATTTCACAATCATTTGAGTCATTGTTCATAATAAATATGTATTCATTTGGCTTCTAGAGCTTTAAAATCCATCTCATGCATCTATTCAATGCGGCACATATCATGATTTTAAAGTAAAAACAATGGATCCAATGCGTTAACGAATAGTTCTGGCTTTTTGAAATTTGATCACATAGGATTTTTATTAAACCCTGCACTTTGCATTTTGGCCTCTTTAAGCTCTTTGTTTTGGTTGAACATCCTGCAAACTGAGCCTTTGAATCCACTGTACACTATCTGTTCAGGGACATATGACAGCCAGAGTAAGGTATTTGTTTGCTCACACCTAGGCAATGTTAGCCGCAACATGTAGGAGTGTGCGTATATCAGACTTTGTGTTTTGCGTGGGGAAGAAGTTGTAAAACAAGCTTGAATTTGCAATAACTGCAACCACCTACGCAGTGATGCTACCAATGAGTGTACGTCGAGGGGTGAACAAGAATGGTAGGAGCAGGGTTTGTATGTAGGGGGAGGGGCAAACTATTATAATGAAAAGGACTGTTGATCAATTGATGCCTCCAAGTCATGGGCCACTCTCACTAGCATATCCTATTTGCCAATTGGCAAGAACACAAAGACACACCTTCACACCCACGCAAGACCAGGGTTGCGTTAGAATTGTCAGTTGGCAGTTATGCATATATTGCATAACATTTTATTTATTTAAAAATATTTTCATACAATCATACGTATTGGTATTCGTGTGGATTAATACAGTATATATATATACAGTCTATGAGATTAATATGTGCAACAAATGTTCCACTTTACTGTTTTATTTCCTTTTCTATCCTTGGTAATGTATATATTTTCTGTTGTCAGCATCCATAAGGCCTACATAAAACCACACCATTATAGCGCACGGTGCAAAGTATCTATGTGCCTTACAGTAGTCCACTGTATGGAAACCTGTAGTTTCCCCACAGCAGGCGCACATTGATGAGATCCTCTGGCGCGTCATAAATACGTCGGATAGTGTAGGTGCAGTCTGATTCTCAAAGCACTGCAGTCTCTTTTCCTAAGTCCCGATGAATCCTCCTATCATCTTTCCTTAACCCTGTGACGTTTCTCACGGAGGTTAAGGAATTAGAAAAGGTTAGGAAAGGAAGAAAGGAGCTGATTTTTGGACAATTCCACCGCAACCCTATATTCAATATCTTAAAACTACCGCCAAAGCATGGGAGAATTGAAGGCCGACAGAAAACGTGACCTACATCTGCTGGTCCCAACACAAAGAAACCCCAAGACAAGAATAGCAGCTTTAAATGAAGGTTGTGCAACGCATATTTTCCAAAGGCCCAAAGAGAACTGCAGATGGTTTTTCTTGAGATGTTTTTACCACCAAATGCACAGTCCTAGTGGGATGATGTATACCGTATGTACAGAAGCATCATTTGGACATAAAAAGCTCCATTCATAGCATATGGACTGTTCCACTTCAGTGCAGAGGGGAGGAGGGTGTAATGATCTGGTTCCTGCTGGATGAACTGGTGTTTATACAGGGTGGGTCAGCACTGGGTGTACCAGGACCCTCCATGCTACCAAACACTAAGTTCTTGCACGAGCCCATTAAATTCCCGACTTGAGATGATATACACGTTCAAACAGCCACCTATGCATTCCCCC